GGCAGGCTAATTCACAGTTCCCCACGCAGTCATTCAAGCAGGATTTGCTGGGTTGGCTTTTATCAGCTGAAAAATTATCCACTGGGGAATTCTGTCAGACACCAAGCAATTCATTCATTTGACCCCACTTTCAGTTTTCCCTTGTCTCTCTCTCTCCTCCCTCTCTATCTCTCTCCTCTCTCTCCTTCCCTCTCCGTCTCCTCCCTGCCCTCTCGTTTGTCAAAGTCCTGTGTGCTGGGCCCAGAGCCACGCACAGGGGTTACAGGGCCATGGGGCTGCCAAGGTCCTGCCCTTTCAGGGAGTATGGACCAAGTGCTGCAATGAATGGCTTATGAAACGCTGTGGGCCCACGGAAGCTGTCAGATGCTGAGGGGGGACACAGGAAGGGAAGCATGGGTGAGGTTTTCCTGCCCTCCCATTCCCAGCCAATGGGAGGTATGGGCTGATTTCCTCCCGTGGGGCAGCAGGCAGAGGCTGCTCTGGAATCACAAAGACCTGGCCTCACTTCAGCACTGTGACCCTGAGCCTTTCTTTCTCCTGCCAGGGCCTGTTATGTGGCCGCTACCTCTGTCCTCTGCTCTCAGGGAATGAGGTGCCCGTGACAGAACCCAAGAGTCATTCTCCTGTGAGGTTGTGGTTGGCTGGACCTGGACTGACTTCTGGAACTCTCCACCGGATCCTCCCCACCCTAGGGATAGCTTCTCCCCCACCCCACTTTACCCTGAAGGTTTGCCACTAATATGTGTGTGACAGCGCGTCACTAGGAAAGACTACCTGGCTGTGAGCTCCAGGGCAGGAAGGGTCTGCCCGTTTTCTGCTGAGTCCTCCAGCACAGGCCTGGGGAGGGCTCTGAAGGTCTTGGTTATATGCCCATGGGGCAGGGCCTCCCTAAGTATACATCCACATGACTACAGTGTCACTGCAGGTAAGGATAGCATAGCACCAGCAAAGGCATTTCAGTGTCATTTTGTGTCCTCAGACACAGAAGAGGCATACTTGGGGGAGGTAAGGATGCTGTCTTGCCTTTTGGGGAACAGGGCCTGCACCACTAGCCACAGAGCCTGGCTTCCTGGGAACTATGTGGGGACTTCTCTCACCTGTCTCATTGGTAGTCTGGAACCAAAAGCCTATGATCTGGCCCACTTTCAGGAATGTAAAGGACCTTCCTTCTGGAGGCCAAATAATGCCAGATTTGCCATCTTGGGGTAAGTGGGGAGGGAAGGGGAAGAGGCAAAGGCGGCACGGGTAATTATTAGCTGTTGGCCTCTTGGCCCTGGGTGGGGCTGGGGTTCCCAGCAGGCCAACCAACCCCCACTTTTTGTTCTCTTAGGAGCCAGGCACAGTCAGAGCTGATGTGGAAAACTCAGGCGCTTGCTAGGGCCAGGGTTTGGGGTCAGAAGGGAGAATGTCCTCTATTCCAGGTTAGTGCAAACATAGCTCCAGACTTGGGTGTGGGCTGCTGGAAGCTTCAGCCTGGATCACAGTCAGGGTAGGGCGGGGAGTGATAGGGTAGCCAGAAGGTAGCCACAGCGGGAGGACCACCTCAGAGCTTCACTTGAGGGCTGGGGAAGGGGGTTTGTGCCTTCTGCTTCACTTGAGGGCTGGGGAAGGGGGTTTGTGCCTTCTGCTTCACTTGAGGGCTGGGGAAGGGGTTTGTACCTTCTGCTTCACTTGAGGGCTGGGGAAGGGGTTTGTACCTTCTGAAAACAGCTGCTCCTTAGCTTTCTCTGAGTCCCCACCTCCAACCACAGCTCCCAGAGGCCCCCAGGGCTTAAAGATGAGTGGTGGACTGAAGGACGTCCGGAGGTATTGGGGCTGGGGATGCGGAATAGTGGTAGAGTCAAGCTTAGCATGGCCCTGTCTCCACCCCCAGCCACATCTCAACATTCCAAGGACTCAGAGAGCGAGTCAGGCAGGAGGAGGCCTCTGCATACCCCAGGTGTCCCACCCTCAAGAGCCATCATTTCTGTAGTGGGTCACCCTGCAGTTCTGGCTTGGCATCCCAGCTTGGTGACTCTGGGTAATGTGGGTGGCTTTTCTGAGTCTTGCTTTGCACTCCAGTGCTAACACCACCGTAGTATTGACAAGGTAAGCCCACAATTCGAGAGCAGGTATAGAAAACACCTATGGTCACTTCAGTTCAGGTACTGCTAGCCTCCTCTCATATCAGCACAAGAGCTGTGCCCTGGCCAAGGTGATGCCTGTGTATCAGGACCCCCAGGCAAGCTCGCCTATGGACCTCTTAGCACCCAGTGAGGGTTTGGACACTTGGTGTCTGACGGTCATGCAAGCAAGCACTGCTCCCAGAGCAGACCCTGTCCTGCCAGGTAAGGAGTGGCAGTCATGAAGCTTCCCAGAACAAGCTGGACCTCTGGGCTAACATGGGTGGCTACAAGTGTCTGTCAGCCAGCCTTTACCCTACTCCCTGATGAGATGCCCTAGGTCAGGCTCACACTAGCCACTTTATGGTGCTGATCCCACCAGTTGAGGCAGACTGTCTGTCCCATGATTCCTTGGGAGTCTGAAACTGGAAACAGGCCTCATAACCAAGCCTGAGGGGAGGGGTATGTGTCCTGTAAAGCATTTCATTTGCTCTTAGACTAGAACTGTTAGGATCACCATCTTGGAGAAGTCAACCTCCCCTGGTCCAGCAGCTTCCATCTAGGTGGAAGGTAGTATGGGCAGGGGCGGCTCCCCGACAGATGGGATGGGGGAGGAGCAGCAGGACACACACACACACACACACACACACACACACACACACACACACACACACGCACGCACGCACACGCACACACCATAGACACACACACACACCATAGACACATACCACAGACACACACACACTCCAGACACACACACACACACACACACACACACGCACACGCACACGCACACGCATGCACGCACACACAGAGCATTATGGCATTAAATACTTAGCATCTGTGTAGGTCACTGACCGGGGCCCATATAGGTTGTAAGCCAGAGAGAGGACAATGAATGGAGGCAGCCCAATGGTGGACCCACACAGGGCAGCTGCATGCAGCACCGAGCCCAGCACCGTGTTTACCGCCCATAGCTCTGAGCACTGTGGGGTCTGAGGGCAGGCCCTGGCACAAGTATGTGGCAGACAAATTGTCAAGGCATCTATCTGGAGGAGGGTGCTCCTGTCTGTTTGGGCCCCAGGCCACAAACCCCCAAGGCCCTGGCCAGGCCCAGGCCTGAGCATGGCTGAGCAGATGTGGGTGGTGAGTGGCCTTTCTGCCCATAGTCAGGCTGCTGACACACCCAGGAAGCTGCCCGGGGTAGATTTTGGACCTGCCCTGACTTTTGAGCTTCAGGGCCTGTTGTCGCCTGACAGTCTGATACCCCCTACCAACCCCCAGCCGTATTTGGAGACCCTGAGTTCTCTGTAGCAGTCATGTCTGGACACTGCCTCTGCCTCAGCTCCATGCCATCTGGCTCTTTGAGCCTGGTGCCTCTGGCTCCAGTATGCTTCTCCAGAGGAGTCGATGGGATACGGCGGGGGGCAGGCAGACCTGAGTGTGGAGGGCAGAGGCCTGGGGAACACTCAGCAGGCAGACTGAGGAAAGGCCTGCAACCATGATCAAATGCTGTACTCCTATCACCACGGAGACATTTTCCTAGCTCCTACTCCCAGCAACATGGATTCCGGGGCCCAGGAGGGATGGTGAGCTCCCATAGCTGTCTCAGTTTGTAGACTTTGGTCACTTGTTCTGTGACTGGGTTGGCATGACCCTCAGCAGGCCCAGCTCCACTACCCCCTGACTATGGAAGCCCTATCCACCCCTCCCCCAACTCTTCTGTTCCTGTGCTTTGGGATGTAGGCAGGGAGGAAGCAGGGGCAGCTGTGAGGGCCAGGGTCACAGCAATGTCCCCACTGTGTAGGCTGAGCAGGCCTGCTCAGCTGACTTCTCCACTTCAGGCCTTGGCTTTCTCCGCCCATGTGGGCTGTGAGCAGACTGCACAGCAACTCCCTTTTATCAGATGAATCAAAGGGGTTTCCTGAAGGCCAGCAGCTGTGACTCATTGCCCAGTGCTTCGGAAGGCCAAGTTAGAAGGCGTGCAATGAATCTGAGGCCAGTTGGCTGGAGTGGTTGCACACCACCCAGGCTAGTGTGGCTGGTTTTACGTCAACTTGACACAAGCTAGAGTCATCTGAAAGGAGGGGACCTCAGTCAGAAAACGCCTCCCTAAGATCTGGCTCCAGGACATTTTATTAATTAGTGCTTGAAGGGGGGAGGTCCAGCCCACCATGGGCGGGGCCATCCCTGGGCTGGTGGTCCTGGGTTCTACAAGAAAGCAGGTTGAGCAAGCCATGAGGAGCAAGCCAGTGAGCATTACCCCTCTGTGTTCTCTACGTCAGCTCCTGCCCTGTTTAAGGTCCTGTCCTGACTTCCTTTGATGATGAACTGTGATGTGGAAGTGTAAGCCAAATGCACCTTTTCCTTCCAACTTGCATTTTGGTCATGGTGTTTTGCGGCAGCAATAGAAACCCTGACTAAGACACTGGGCTAGTAAGATGGCTCAGTAGTAAAGGCACTTGCCACTCACAAGGGCTGTCAATCCCTGGACTCTCCATGGTGGAAGAAGAGAACAGCTCATAAGTTCACACACACAGAGAGAGAGAGAGAGAGAGAGAGAGAGAGAGAGAGAGAGAGAGAGAGAGAGAGAGAAAATAAATCAATACTTTGTCCTTGGGTGGAGGTTTACAGCCTAATGAAGGCACACTTGACTACCATGTGTGAGGCTCTGAGTTCTGTCCTCAGCTCCATGAATAAAAGAGTAACTGTGACTTCATCAGTTAATGGCTGTGTGGAGGAGACGACACAGACAGAATGCTGGCACTGGTGGGGGGTGTTGGCTTTGGAGAGCTACTCAGGACCCCAGGAATCAGAGGCCTTGTCTGTCAAGTAGCCACCCATTAGAGACCTGGAGCTGATGGGTGTCCCTCCCCCTGTGCTGGTGGGAGCACTTACATTGATCATAGCATTTGACGTGATGCGGAAGAGGGTGGCCCGCTCGTTCACAACCTTCAGCTTCTCCCCGCTCTCGGATGGGATCTTGAGGCTGTCCAGCTCATTCAGGGAGCGCTGGAGTGCAGCGCCGTGCTTGGCAATGAGGTCATTGCATGTGCTGAGGTCATCTAACTTCAATGAGAGGCTCTTAAGGGTGTGATGGAGCTCACTCTTGTCAGCTGGGGCAGCAGGCTCTCCGTCGTCGTCCTCAGAATCATCTGAAGAGAGACAGAATTTCTGTAACCAACCAGGGGAGAGACTCTGTTGTCTGGGCTGCAGAGGGCAGGACACCACACCAGAGTGACCAGTGTCCTAGACAGTGTCTGGCAATGCTCCTGGCCAAGGCTGCTGCACCTTAGCCTGGCCCACACTCGTCCAACTGAGTCTATGCAAGTGTGAGGGAAAGGGGCCTAACTGGAATGGCGGGGCTGTGGCGAGCTTGGAATCCAGGTGCCCTCCTGCACAAAGGGTACCAGCTCCACTGGGTCACACAGCCTGAGGTCACAGCAGGCCACCCTGGGTGGAGCACAGGTACCCGAGGAGACAGCAGAACTCCTTCCCTTATCTTGTAGGCCAATTAATACTTCTGGCTAACTCCACGCCCATCCCTAGCGATGACAAGTCTCCCTTGCTCTGCAGACACTTACGCACCCCTGCTTGGGGCCTTTCTTCCCATCATGCACATCCCCAATGCCTGAATCTTATACCCCCTCAAGGTCTCACCCCACTTACCCTCTGGGGCCCCAATCCAATACCACTCCCTCCCCAAGATCTGCCTGGAGACCCCCCCCATAGTCAAGGCCATTCTCTTTTCACCGCACCCACACCCTAGACCCTCTTAATCTCCACCTCCAACCTTGAAGATCATGGCCACATCTACACACACACACACACACACACACACACACACACTCTAAGGCAGCCCAGCTCACCCTCTCCTTCATGCCAGTCAACTGGGGCTTCTGTGAAAGGGCTTGTTCCCTCTCACAACTCACAGAGGTGCAGGAGTCCTTCTTTCTTCCCTTCTTGCTAGCCCAGCCTGTGTCCATAGCAGCCTCCGTGGGCAGCTGGCCTGCGACACTGAGGCTGCTTTAATGCTGGCATGAGATAGCAAGGAGGCTGTGGTTTGCCCAGTGCCTGACGGCTGAAGTTTTCGGAAACGCCTTGTTTTAGAAATAATCTCCAAAGACTTTTCTTAGGTGAAGGAAATATGCAACCCAAGATATAAAATTAAAAATAAAAACAGGAACGAATATTTTGAGAGAACAGATTTCTCCCACAGCAGGCAAGGTACATGTGGGTGGACATAACTTGGTCACTGTTCTGAGTGTGTCCTGAGCTCACAGCAGTGCCACGTTGGCTGTGCACAAGACCAGAGCAACAGTTAAGCATCCATTGCACCCTGTGACCCTGCCAGCTCCAGGGGCCTTGGGCTAATATCCAGACCCCTCCCCCACAGGCCGCAGCAACTGCAGCCCAGAGTGATTCAGTGCCTGGAGGGCACCGGAGTCACTGACGGGTGGCTCCCTGGAATGGCAGCCCTTCCTCAGGGAGCTGGGCCTGAGACACTCTGCTTCCCTCTGCTGGTGCTGTCCCAGCCTAACCGCGTAGCAGCCCCAGACTGTGGGCAAAGTGATCTCAGACTCCAAGACAGACCCAGGACTAGGAATGAGGTGCAGGGCAGCTCTCAGATAGTGCGGCCACGTGGAATAAATGGCCATGAAAGGCCATCCCTTCCTGATGAAACTTCATCTCCAGGACAGCACTTAAAATACCCATCGGGGTCGCATAGGAAAATGAATTCTTTTTGTTCAGATGGAATAAGCTCATGAAACTCAGATCACCGATGTGTTACAGAGCAGCATTCAGAATGTGGCTTTCCCAGTCACTCCAAAGCCTCCTGTGGGGACGAGCTCCAACACTTAGCGGCTGTGCTGAGCCAGTTAGTACCATTCCCTGCACCTGATCCCAAATCCATGACCTTTCTGAAACTTCTGAATGTCACTGCTTGGAGAGAACATGCAGATACAGCTGTCAAGATGAAGCCATACTGGACATCCAATATGGATGCTATCCATATAAGAACCCTAGAAACAAGGAGTGGCATGGGACGGTGACCTCAGCACTTGGAGGCTGAGGCAGGAGGATACTGAGCTGTAAGGCCAGTCTGTACTGTGTAGAGATGCCCTATGTGTGTGCCACAGAGAGAAAGGGAGAGGATGAAGGAAGGAGTAGGAAGAAAGATGGAGAAGAGGAGGAGGAGGAAGAGGAAGGGGAGGAGGAAGAGGAGGAAGGGGAAGGGGAGGAGGAAGAGGAAGGGGAGGAGGAGGAAGAGGAGGAGGGGAGGAGGAGGAGGACACGATTAGGGCAGAGGCTGAAACTGGAATGATGGAAATACAAACCAATGGACGTCAAGAATTACCAACAACACAGGACACTAAGAGAAAAGTGTGGAACAGGCTTTTCCTTTGAGGCTTCACAGGAGTCTGGCCCCACTAACACCTTGATTTTGAACTTGTAGCCTCTGGAACTTAGAGAGAAAATAAATTCCAATTGCCTTCACCCTTTGATAGATGGTAACTGGCCACGTACAGCAGCACCAGGGAACTTAAATTGGCTTAAAACAGAACAGGTCTGAAAGTCTTTAGTTGTGTCCCCCAGGGACGCTTACGGGAGCGGGCATTTGCCTTTCTCTTAGAGGCTGCCCTCACTCCGTGGCTGGTATCGTCCTCTGTCCTCAAGGCTGGCAGGCAGGCAGTTTCCGTTCTCTCGACTCTCCTCCCTCCCCCTTTAAGAACCTTTGAGATTATGCTGGGTCCACCTGCATGGTGCCCATCCCAAGATCTGGAACCTAGTCACATTTGCCTGGGCCCTTTGTCATGCAGAGCAACAGACGCACGGGTTCTGGGAATTAGGGCATGACAGTTTGGAGCCATGATTAGACAACCACCTGAGATTGCTGTGGCTAACACCTGCCACATTCTTCCTCTATGGCTGCCCTCTGGGGTTTGACTCACTGATCCAGCAGTGATCTCTGGGTGGTTTAACTGATCACCAAGACCCCTTCCTGGGCACAGGGACCTCATGGGCCCTCTGGTCTCTCTGAAAAGCTAGTCACAGATGCCATCCTGGCTAGTATCTCTGTAAGGAAATGGCTGTCTGGTGCAGGGAGGAGCCGGGTGGTCCTGTGTCCAGCTCCATGGGGCCTGGGTTAAGTGTGTCAGTCCTTATGCTAAGAGTATAGGAGGTATATATTCATAGTATAAAATAATGCATATCATGTGCTTTGATAATTTCAACCCCATTGCTCTCTCCTGTTGGTTCATTTTCTCTTTGGAAGCAGTCCCCCTTACTCTCATGCCATACATATGCATGAGCATAAATAACCGTATTAGCTTAGAATCCACGTATCAGAGAAAACACATAATATTTGACCAAATCTGGCTTAATTCTAACTCAATGATCCATAGTTCCACTCCTGCCCTATAAATGACATAATTCTGTTTCTAATGGCTAAATAAAACTGCCTATAATACCATATATTAACCTGCTGCTTGAATGACGTGGCTACAGTAATCTCAGATGTAAAGACAAGACCCATTTATTAATTTGCATGCCTTCCTCACACGGGGACACACTAATCTCCATAAAATGATGAGGTGTTTTAGCACATATGCTGCAGAGGAGATATGATGTAAAAGCCTCCTCTGGGGAAGACGGTAGACGCACACAGTGCATGGACAGCACAGAGCTGGCATGTAGTGCGTCCTGGGGCCCTAGGACCGGGCCTGCCGAACTCTCCATCCATTCACCAACACAACTCACATTTGCACAGCACTGTCTGGTTTACTTCACATCAGAGGTCAGACCATGGGGAGCCCTTGTTCCCTGTGGCCCAGCTCCCCTCTGAGGGCTCTCCAAGCCTCTTTAATAGGAGGAGGTGGAAGTCTAGCTGAGGGGCTCCCTCTGCATGCACCACCAGGGCCAGAACCCTCTTTCCTAAGGAGGCTCCTAAGAAGGACAGGTTGCTATGGCAACTGTGGTACCAGGTGAACTATTTTTATCAGCAGAGCTTTCTTTCATCTTTGGAAAATGGATATTGGTGGGGAATCCCTGTATGTATGGTGGCGTGGCCGGGGGGACGGGGACTTTTAAACTAAGAACCAGCAAAGCAAAGCTGCAAGGCGGCTTCAGTCGGGGACGTGGTGACATGTAGAGCACCCTCCCCCCTGCCGCGCACTATTGCTTGTGTTTCTGTGAGATTCTGGGGTCAAGTCACAGGAGGGCCAGTGGAGAGCTCAACTTAGGAGTGAGACTGGTCAGTGTCCTGAGAGCAGTGACAGAGAGGAAAGCTCTTGGAGTTGGAGTGCCTTGGAGCCACCAAGGGCTCTAGGGAACTGAGCAGACCCTCAAAGCCTGACCCTGCTGGGTATGCTTTCCCACGGGCATCTCATGGGGCTCTGGTTCTGCCAGACATCCTGCAACACAACAATAAACTATGGCAAACGGGATGACACCTCGTCCCTCAAAGAGACAAGAGTCTGAGGCTCTGCAAACACTGACCACCCAGACACTGGAAAATATGGCAGGACCTAATCTGATGGAAAATCAGATGACAATAAATAATGAATTGTGCAACCCTGTGGGATGGAAATACCAGTCGGGTTCCAGTGTGTTCCTCCACTTCTGGGCCTTGCCAGGGCCCCTCCCATCCCTTCCCCCACTTAAGACAGAGGAAACCACAGAGGAAGGTGGGACACATTCTCCAGGATAAGGTGGGGGCAGTCCCTTGCCTCACCAGGGACCAGGTATCTCTCATCTTCCATCCAGGAAATGCTCAAGGGAAACCTACACAGTGACCGCAGAGCACACACCCTGGAGGACTAAGAAACGTGCTCCCAAGATGATTTGGAGGCACAGGCCTATAATCCCAGCTACTCAAGAGGCTGGGGCAGGAGGATTGAAAACTCAAAGCTTGCCTGGGCAACTTAGTGAGACTACTATCTCAAAACACAAACCCCAAATCTGGGCCTATATGGTGTAGGCCTACACAGTATAAGCCTGTATGGTGTAGACCTATATGGCCATGTTCAATAAGTATGAGCCTTAAACACCAATGCCCAATGACACACAGAGAAAACAGCAACAGATAAAGCTTGTTTCCTTCCTTTCACGGTCTCAGTGGAGGGAGCCAGAGCTCACAGCATCAGAGCCCTGG